ATTATTATTGAACACTTGTTTAACCACTTCTTGATACACTTCAATATCAGTAACTTTTATGTCTAACTGCTTCGGAGCCCGGTGTGTAACTTTTTGCGGCTAATTCTACGAGTGCAGCTTTTCGACTTTTTGCGTCTGTTTGCTTCGGAGCCCGGTTTTCGAATTTACGTCTGTTTCTTTCAACCCCCGGTTTCCGAATTTACGTCTGTTTCTAACGACCCCCGGTTTCCGAATTCACGTCTGTTTCTAACGACCCCCGGTTTCCGAAATTACGTCTGTTTCTAACGACCCCCGGTTTCCGAAAGCCGCTAAACCATGACGCTTCCTCAAACCTTCAATTCCTGCTTTCACCAGCGTCACTGCCCTGTCACACCCTTAAATTTTAGTGATTGGCTAATTTTGAAAAATAGGAGTATCTTAATTAGATATTCCTCCACTCCGCTTAAAGCTTACAAACGTTTAAGGATTTTTGACTCCAACGTATTTCTGTCAGAAAGTGACAAATGTTTAAGCGTCGCTTGGGCCCTAAAAACTTCACTCTTTTTAAGTTATGCCATGCACAAACTGCCAAGTATTGAATTTACAAAAGATTTCTTTACCCTATTCTTTAACGCAGCTTTCCACTAATAAACCTTTGACGGGTTTCCTGTTTCTTGTTGTAAGCGTGAGAAGACGCTTACTCTTACATACAAGAATTGACCTATGTCTCACTACCCTTGTTCACTGCATTTCATTTTGAACAATTAAGCTTTCAAATTAATAAAGTTGATTACATTAAATAAGTTGCGTAGCAGTGGAACGGTTACAAAAAGGAGTAGTGATAAAGCGTCTCCTTGTTTTAGACCATTCTGGATAGGAAACTGTCAAAATTATATGCATGAGGAAATTAAGAGGAGACCGAATTCGGGCAATCCTTACCACCTTCCGTCCAGAAAATTTTATCTTCTCGTCTGCTGTCCAGAAACCTAAAAATTAGCATATACGAAATTATAATTTTGCCTGTGGTTCTGTAGGGTTGTGAAACTTGGTCTCTGACATTAAGGGTGGGAACATAGACTGAGGACGTTTGAGAACAGGGTGCTGAGGAGAATATTTGGATCGAAGAGGGATGAAGTGACAGGAGGTTCGAGGAAACTGCATACTGAGGAGCTCTATAACTTATACTCTTTGAAAAGAATAATTAGAATGAACAGGTCAAGGAAGATTAGATTGGCGGGTCATATAGCACAAATGAGGAGATGAGGAATTCATATAGGGTTTGGGCGGGAAACTTATAAGGAAGAAGATTACTGGGAAGAACTAGAAGTAGGTGGGAGGATAATATTAGGACGGATCTGCGAGAGATAGAATGGGGTGTATGAACTGGATTGATCTGGCTGAGCATAGGGACCAGTGGAGGGCTCTTGTGGACATGGCAATGAACTTTCGAGTTCCATAACGTGTTGAGAAATTCCCGAATAGCTGCTCAACTGGCGGTTTCTCAAGAAAGGCTCAGCTCCATGGGGTTAGCAAGATGCACTGTTATTGTAGCTACAAGAATATTTCAAAGTTGCTTCCTTTTGTAAGGTCGAAGAAGATCCATGTATCCAGAAGGGCCGATGGCTATTACATTTTTACTCGTGGTCTGAGTATGTTAAACATGTAATGTATGAATTATGAATGTCCACATATAGGCTACAGAAAACAATGTGAATTGTTGTATAATTATCACTTTTATTCCGTAAGCTTAATAGTTAACATTTAGTTCCTATTTAAATTTATATTGTTCCTTCCTGCTGTAAATTGTTTATTTCTAATTAATATTTATGGAATCAACACAAGATTAATAGTTGTTGTATTGACTATATTAATGAGCTGAGCTAGTCAAAATATCTCCGCCTTTTGTGGTTCCCGGAAGTTCATTATCGTGATTAGAAAAGCCTGTCGCGGGTCACATCCTGACCTACGTACTGACATGGCTAGAAACAATCGAAGCACGGAGCCTTGTGAAACATATCGTAACTGCTAGTGTGTTCTTGAGTGTCTGAGAGCTTTAAGTTACATTTTGTGGACTTTCAACGTTCTAACTGCTTATGGGAAGTGCAGGTGCCACAGATGGGCTGTGCCTTATCGTTGGCAGTACATTCCGTGATAAATGTAATTTCATTACTGCAACTAAAATTCATATATTTACATAATATAAGGCGAAACTGAAAATGCATATTTCCGCACATGAGAAGAGATCAAATGAGCTTGTTTAGTGGAAATGCCTGAATGAGCAAAGGCCCTAGAATGTCTTTCACAACCCCCCCTTCCCCACCTTAATCATGTTTTATTTCGTTTTAGTTCTTTTCATTTGCCAATGTTTTTCCAGTAATAGTCAACGGTTTCCTTCACATGTAAGAGTTCACTTTCCTCATTTCTTCATTTATTTTTCTAATCAGCTGAAGCTTACGAGGAGCATTTTGTGTGTGAAGCCAATTACACTAATATTACAGCGGTAGGGAAAAATGCTCGAAAGCTAGCGGTAGAAATATGAGTGCAGACTGTGAGACCCTCCCGTGCCTTTTTTACACATTAAAAAGCAAAACTATACAAAGAAAGCCTTCTCGAATTTCCGAGTACAAATGCAAAAGCGAAGTAGAATTCCATTCGCTTTGTGCTTCTTCTTTTTAAAAAACAACTTCCTTTGAAGTTTAGTATTTGACATTGACACACAAGTCAGTTCCTAAAGAAAGCCGCGAATAATTCAGCCGAGTCTAATCGGAAATCTGCTGTATTTTGGTGCCATTTGCTGACTGAAAAGACCAGTTGACCAATTTATCGAAAAGGATTTTCAATTTTCTCAGAGGAAGTTGTCACAGGAATTGTTTAAATATTTCTGGCCTCGAGAATGAATAGTGATATACATGTAATACGGGTGTTTTACACAGAAGCCTAGACATTACCATACAAAGATGAAAACGTTTCGTGGACCAGAACTTTGTTTACAGTCTAGGATGCGCTGATATTTAAACGTATTATATTACACGCTTTGTATTTTATTATTTTATATTAGGGAGTCGACATGACTCTATAAGTGTAATGTCTAAGCGACAGTGTGTATGACCGAAGGATCGGAGTTCGAGTCGGGGGGGCAGAGATATTTATCTTACCCGCCGTTTTCAGAACACCTGTGAGACCCACACAGACTTCCGTTCAGTCGGCGTGAAGTCGACGACTCACCTCCAGCTAGCGTAGAATGAAGGAATTCGTGGAACTTTTAATTTCATTCTTCCATACATCTTCATGGCCGGTCACGGTAGCCGAGCGGTCTAAGGCGTGCACTGTCTTCGCTCGCTCGGAAACCAGGATCGTGGGTTCGAATCTCACTCAGGGCGTGGATGTTTGTGTGCGTTTTTCTGTGTTTGTGTACAGGTAGAGGTCTTGCGACGAGCTGATCACTCGCCCAGGGAGTCCTACCGAATGTGTAAGATCTAGAAAAACCGAAGTGAACGGAGAAGTTCATGGAGGTACGCCTAGGCCAACTGGGGCTGTAGTGCCAAGGAAACAAAAAATACATCTTCATGGCATGGCGCTTATTTACGTTCAGGGACAATTTTATATTTTTACTTTATACGTATTATTCAGAGTTTCATCAGTGGATGACGTCTCTACTGAAGACACTTACTTAGAACAAATTTACTTATTACTTCATATTATCGAGAGTAGATTCTAAATATACAATTAATTAAATAAAAAACTTTTTATTATGTTATAATTTCTACTTCTTTTAAGCTGTAAAAGTACATGCGTTTATACTGTATAGGCCTATAAAAGGTTCTTCAATCCTTCTGAATAGCCTCTTTCATTCTTTCATAGAGGAGAGCGTATGGTTAGCAGTTTCTTCGTCCAGATCAGATAGCAGAGAAATGAAATCTCTAAACGTTAAAAGTCTTGATCAGATCTAGAAACATTTATGGTAGGTCAACAGAAAAACAGGTTCGAAAATGTTCCTTCTGGAAATAGCGCCTTAACTATTCGATTATTTTACGATTTTTTTCAACTGCCGTGATTAAGCTTTGTCGTATGGAATGCGGTAGAGGAATTATGGACGATGATAGGGAGTAGGAGAAAACTGCCGCTACTTAGCTTAAAGCACTGTTCTTGTACTGGGGAAAATTATTGAAGGATGAGGCACCGGAGCCGGTAGCTCTCAAATGAGGATAAGCCGTTTCCGCTGCTCCGTATAAAGTTTACATTTCCTGTGGTAATGTATTTTCATTTGTGATTGCAGCCACGGGTCAGGAACTCAGTATTGACCGTATCGATCTTCTGGAGTCCCTACACCTTCACAACACCAGCCACCAGGGAGTTACCGAGACGCCTGGCCCCCAACGCCTCAAACCTGCCTACAGTCTGCAGGGTGAGTACAGTTCTTGAGCAAGCCAGACATTCTTACAGGTCTGGCATGTTCCACGTTCTCATCGGCCAACCTTCCTATGTAACTTACTTTCCGTCTTAGTCCACGTCTACCTTAAGATGGAGGCAGTAGTTCACGCGAAACTGCCGTAACCACCTTCGAAACCATTCGCTGTTACAACCCAGTATACTACAATATTAATTTTCACCTTGCCCCCAGTGTATAGCTCAGATTTCATGGAGACAGGAAATCTTTGAGCCAGAGGTTCCTAACATTTTCTGGTTCATGGTCTGGCAACACTGATACCATGTCTGTCTCATATTGTACAGTGTAAGTTAGTCGCTGGCTTCCCACTGCGGCGGCCCGGGTTCGATCCCGGGTCTGGTCAAGTGGGATTTGTGGTGGACAACGTGGCGCTGGGGCAGGTTTCATCCGAGTATTTCGGTATCCCCTGCCAATCTTAATTCCACCAAAATTCTCTATAATCATAATCACCCGGGGCAGGTAAAATAAGCCAGTCAGAGACCGCCGTACCGAGTGGAACCAGCTGTACTCCACCCCCCAATAAGCTAATTTTTTGTACGGTGTAAATGACAGCTCACAAATTAAATTACTACTTCTATGTCTAAACATTTACTTGTAGTAGAAATAAATGTCGTTATATGTCAGTAAAATCGAAGAGAGGTCATTTCACAAAGGCCAATATTCTTTGAACACTTCATCATAAACTGTTTTAAATCAGTTACGTAGGAAGGGATGCGAGAAAACCTGCTTCGTCTCTCGCTATCCGTGAGGTGCTGGGCAATGCAGTGACTGGTCCCCCAAAACTCAGTGCCCTTTTCTTCGTAACACGACTAGTTTTATCGCTGGAAGACCGAAAAAGTAAAGGGACAATACTAATAGTAGTAATAGTAATAGTAATAGTAATAATAATAATAATAATAATAATAACAATAATAATAACTCGATTCATTTCGTGTTTATTTACGTGCAAACTTAACAGCATAGAGGCCAATAACAAAGTTGGCACGAATACACAGAAATACAGGAATACCTAAAACAAAATACAAATAAGACAGTCTACACGTATATAATGGCAATAAATCAATAATACTTCCAAGAAAAATTAAAGTTAGCATTAACAGGTGAGAAAAATAAAACAAGTATATTTCGAATGGTTATTCCATTATGTGTTGAGAGGACAATACACATTCATACACACATAATCGTTAATAATAATAACCCAATTCTTATTTATTCGTGTGGCAACTCAACATCCTAATTCAATTCAATTCAATTCAATTCATGTCTATTTACGTGCAACTTAACAGCACAGAGGCCTGTTAAAAGGTTAGCATGAGTACATAGAAATACATAAAAAGTAATTAAAAAACAAATACAAAATTTGAGAGTCTACATAATGACAATAGATTAAGAATAATTCCAAGAAAATTTAAAGTTAACATTAACAGGAGAGAACAATGAAATAAGACATAATAATAATAATAATAATAATAGTTCTAGTAGTATTGGTATGGATGATGGTGGTGGTGGTGGTAGTAGGAGGAGGAGGATGAGGAGGAGGAGGAGAAGGACGAAGAAGAAGAGGTGGAGGAGGAGGATGAAGAAGAAGAAGAGGAGGAAGAGGAGGAGGAAGAAGAAGAAGAAGAAGAAGAAGAAGAAGAGGAGGAGGAAGAGATGGAGGAGAAGGAGGAGAAGGAAGAAAAAGAAGAAGATGAGGAGGAGGAGGGGAAGTTATTTTCAGTACAAAGTAAGCAAGCCATAAAATGGAAAGAAACCCGAGAAAAGTCGAAAGCTAATCAATAGTAATTTGTAATTATCGGAATACAACGCCATGTTTGCTAGCAGGTATACATTAAGCGGCCTATCGGCAGCAGTCTGTGACAGTCGTTGAGGAAAACTGCTCTAAATTATATTTATTCGGTTTATTATCCGTGTTTCGCACAACGTACGAGTACTTCAAGTGAATGTACCTCGTATGTGGGGGCTTCTCTTCTTATCATCTCTTTGCATATTTCAAAGTGAAAACCGTTTAATGGTTTTTCATTAAATTTCGCATTGGAGAATTTTACTAAAATTATCGAAACGTTTAGGTTTTCATTTAAATCGGGCAAGTATAACAGTGGCTTTACATGCAGACTCACATGCGTGTCTATGCATGTCTCGCTAAATGTTCTTCGGCGATACAAGCGTTTCGAAGAAAAAGTTTGAGAGAAAAATAAAATGCACATTTTGTCCACCATACAGGTTTTCCTCCAAACTTATTAAGTTTTTCGAGATAATCAAACATATCAGATGTTATGAACATATTTTCGAAGTTATATTCAATATATTCAACAACCGTTGTTTCCAGAAAGCAATTGCCGAGAAGGGGGTGCGAAAGAAGAACCTTTTTATTGATTTCAGACTGCGCTGAAATCAGATTTGTTTTGTGCCTCTAATTGTAGTGTTTTAATACGTATTTAAAGCATACATGAAACAATATATACATATTTAATTTACATACATGGACATCTGCGCGTTAGTTGCAGAGAACGCCAATAAAACTCAGTTCAATCAGATTGGGATTTCAGCTTTCCAATATCTTTGTGATTCCTCTTCGTCCAGTAGTGACGGGATGGTTTGAAATAAGGACAGACATGTAACATTATGGTACAAATGGGAAATTCTTAAAAACATAGTCGGGAATTTTTATTCAAATAAACTGTTTAGGAGGACTAAGCGAAGATATGAAGATGATAATATTGAAATGAAACGCAGAATAAGGGCGTATTAACATATGGACTAGGCTGAGTTCGTTCAATCAACGGAATATCGTGAGCATGATTAATGAAACTCAGGATTTCATTAAATCAAGAATAATTTTGAGCAACCGAATAAAAAGAACTTTGCAATTTTCTCGGGCGAACAACAGCATCAAAACAGAATTAAAACCAACGTTTATGAGAGCGGATGTCTTCATCAAAGCAAACTAAAATTCGTCACCACGCCATGGAAGCGACGAGTGTGGATGTTAAGTTCCACTCATTCCTAATCTCTGCGCTGTATAGTACCCGTAGTCAGCTGAATGTTCCAGCTGATTCATCCCAGAAACTTTCAGCCCTGGGCGCAGTAGTGAACCGCTGCCTTTCGTTCAGTCATTTTATTGAACAGAACACGCCCTTCTCAGAATATCACTAGAGTGTGCTCAGTACAAGATTTTCCCAGGCAAAGACACAATGATTAATGATGAATTTGCAGATAAGTCGAAGAAGATTGCCTTTGCCTTTTTAATTGTACTGCCGTAGTACGAAAGAGAAACCGAGATTCGAGCCCCAGTTCGCTTTATATAGGTGCCTCAGCTGCCAAGGAGCAGATACTTCTCAAATTTTGGTTACATTTATTACCGCTCTATCAGGCCACTCTGCCTTTAAAATGATTTATCAGAATGTGCCCCGTGTTGTAAAACAAGTTTGCTTAGCGTTCACTTTGAGGGCGCGCTGTGAAAAAATAAACAGAGAAAAGGACCTTCATGAGAGTTCTCTGGCTAACTCTTGAGTATGAGCTGTATGCCTGTGAACTGTGCCTATAGAACTTGAAATTAAAATATAGGCGATTCTCTGAAGTTTTATGATAATGATTGATTCATTCTAACAATATTATGTTCAAGAAATGTAGCAACATGTAAGAATCGAACAAGCTATTTAAAGCAGTGATGCTTCTGCCTTTCCTTCTCAGCAGGTCCTCGCTTCGACTCATGATACTGATGATAATATGAACATATCCTTCCTCTGAAGTATTGTGACTTTTAGAGCCGTTGCTAAGCAAAGACCTCGAAACAAGAGACGAGTACAGCCGTTGCTAGGCAATAAACGAACAAACAAGCGGCTTTTTCTAAGCAACGGCTCGATTAACACGTCCCGCGGAAACTAGACGCACACAATAATATAGTTACAATGGAAACGGGGATGTTTTATATGTGGTCCGTGCCGAGGAGTTAGAAAAAGATAATTTGTGTTATCCAGTCAGTTGAGGGTTAGCAGTTCAGTTGAGATCTGCATATGAGGCTGAAAAGAGATGGCGCTACAGTTAGTTGAGAGTTGTCAGTTGCCAGTTGAAAGTCAGCCTGTGAAGAGAAGACTAGGAGGTTGGTGTAACATGGCCGCCAGCCTGGGACCAAATTAGTATAATTTGGCAGTTGAGTCGAGCTCTGTAACGGAGGCTTAGAAGAGATGACGATATAATTGAGTTGACAGCTGACAAGGGTTCAATTGAGGGATATTTGCTAGAGACTAAAAAAGTGAGAGCGGAAAGCTGAAGAATCTCCACTGTTAGAAGCCGTTGCTAGAGAACGTCTGTTGAAGACACTGCAGACTGGAAAAAAGATTAGCGGGTGCTGTTGTGATTTGTAAAGTGCGATTAGCAATAGCTCTGTAATTATTTGTGGTTCTGAGTAGAGTATACAACTGGTCAAATAAATCCAATATCTAATTCATACCCCCGCCTATGGTCACACCCCTACACACTTGACAGTTTATTTGATGCATGGTGATGTAAGAGATGGCCTTCTTTTCCTCTTCATTTGATCTGTTGTCATTACAGGTAGTATACTAAGCCTTAAAAACTGATAGTTGATGAATCTTTTATTTTGTAAACAGTATCAACTATGTAGCATTGGATTAGATATGAAAGCGTACATTAATAGGTGCAGTTATCTGAATTGCAGTGAGGATTCATTCATTCGTTTTTTTTAATGCTAGTGGGGTGGGACTAAGTCCCTTGTACTGCGGCCACTTCTGGCCTATTGTACCAGTCCCAGATGATAGGTGAGGGTGATTGGGGAGTAATTGGTAGAATGAAGATTGGCAGGGGAAACCGAAGTACTCTGAGAAAACATGCCTCACCGCCACTTTGTCCATCACAAATCCCACTTGACCAGACCAGGGATCGAACCCGGGCCGCCGTGATGGGAAGTCAGGGACTAACCGCTTGAGATATGGCGC